CACGACTGCCGCGAAACGAAGTTACGGGCAGCGGGGCACCCGTGTTATTTTTTCGCTCCAGCTCATTGCTTCAAAGAATTAAGGCGGCTAAGACTCAGGTTTGGTGCGAGGTGAAAAAAAAACCCGCCAACGAGGCGAGACTGCCGCTCGTATCCCTGAACACGTTTATCATCGGGGAAACACGTGCGATTTTTGCGCCTCATCTGGCAACCGCGCCCCGTGGTTAATTTTTTACTGCATTCCACACACGTGTACGGTCCTGCGCCAACTTCGCGGAATGAAAAGTTTTGTTTTTGTTCTTGGTTTTGAATTTGAAAAGTTTGCGCTTCAATCATACAAATGAGACGTTGCGCAGATGAGATGATTAAAATGGAGATCTCACAATGGACAAAGTCCGGGACCGGGGGACGGGGAGGGAGAGGGGGGGACTCGGACAGATCTCACACTGCTCCGACATACTTTGCTCAATGAGATTCCACAGATTCGTTTTCCTGTGTTGCCGAGTGACGCCGACATAAATGGCGCGGAAATAAATACTATGGTGTTTCCGATTTTAAACATCGAGGAATCAGAATTGACAGGAGTTTTGGAGTTTACGGTTAGTTCTGCTTCACTTCAAATCTTCGAGGTAGACCGGATAACATCCTCCATGCAACTACAGCATAGAGTACAATAAAGTCGCGACACATGCACAACTGAACCCATAACACAGTAATTCACAGATTCAATGCATTATCCGATTGCAATCCGTGTATTACTGGTGAATGCGATTATGAAGGGGGAGAATTTAATAATGTAGTAATCTTTTCCCTGAACAGAGGTTCTCGTTTTAACGATAGTCGATCAGAAAAAGACGGACAAGCTTCGATTTCAATGACTCGATAGACTTGCATACCAACCTCGGGTGCAAAATCTCTACAATCCCTCGATCCTACGATTGCAGGCTCGGAGTGCGCACTGGTCGGAAATGGTGTGGATCGCACTAGGTCCGATCGAGATATGACGAATTTTCAACGATTAAAGCGCGCACTGTAGTGAACGCGCAATGCGTGAAGTATTCCTGCAGTCTTGTGGGCGCTAACATGCTTTTCGGGCCAACCGGCGCGGCGCGGGGACCGCACCATGTTAGACGCAGTGCGTGAAGTATTCTTGCACTCTTGAAGGCGCTAATTTGCGTTACGCGCAGACCGACGATCGCACTGTATTTGCCGCAAAGCGCGAGATATTTCTGCCGTCTTGTAGGCGCTAATAGGCATTCCACGCCGACCGGCGCACCATGGATCAAGTCAATTGAAGAGGTTGGACACTACATTTTGGCTAAAACTGCAAATTTTGATGTTAAATTCGTCTCATTCTAGATTTAGGGGGATGCTTCTAGAAGAAAATTTCATGAGGAAACGCATGGAGCCATTTTTAAAATCTCAACGTTTTGATTTAACGGAGTTATAAGCTTTCAAAGTTTCCAAATTTTGTCTGACCTCCTCCATTGACTCGATCCACTGAGCGGCGTGAGTGCGGGTAGGCACAACAATCATAGCACGAAGACGAAAGGACATAGAGAATCGGAATTTTGTGTAAGAGGTCCTGCACATGTAGGCTATCGTTAGATGATTTAAAAATGCTTTGAGAAGCAGAAAATATAAAAATAAAAATAATGAAAAGAAGATGTCTTACAACCACCATGCTGCCATTTTTTGTTGCTTTGTTTACATTACCCTGAGGCCTCACGGCTTACGCACGTCTTCACAGGGTGTCTACTGAAACAGACTGCCCAAAAATTATTACTTATACAGTACTTTTTTGGTACATTTTCAAGAATTGCAGTACCTTCTTAAAAAAAAATTCAGTACTTATTCAGTACCTCCATTTAACGAAATTCGCAAAATATCGAAAATTTGAATTTATCGCTCAAATTGCGACACAAATGACAAAAAATGACAAAAATTCCGGACCTTCTTGTGGATTTGCCGCACTTTTTCAGTACTTCCGGACCGCCCTTACAAAAATCAGTAGTATTTCCGGAAAGTCCGGAAATTCCAGACTTGTAGACTCCCTCCATAATAGGGATACAAATATAAAAACAACCGAAACTCACAAAATATTGTTGAATAGTTGGGAAAATACGAGAGTATCCCTAGTAAATTTGACAATCTTAGCAAGGGTTTTGAGTACCCCAAATACCGCGGTCAAAACAGACGGTGTCTCTGAGTTAATGGTATAGGGTGGGGCGCGGATAAGGAGAATCCGAGGGTGAAAACGTCGCGTCGTGTAGTTCGAGAAATAATTAAGAAGCGCCCAGGACAAAAACGGGTGTGAACATAAATATGATCGTTTACCGGGCAATTGGCTAATTTTACAAGATCATTTGCGTCTAAAGATTTAATCAAGCAAAAGCTATAAAAGGGGACGCAAACGCGTTCATCGGGGGAACAATGCTGCGCGTAGGGGGGCTCCTTGGCGCAGACCTCTGCAAATCCCAGTGTCAGATTTCTCAAAAAATCCTCGTACTTTTTACTGAAGGGACGTAAGCATACAATGGAGAATTTGCATGCAAATTTTTAGTGCTACATCTGAAAGAGCTTAAAGAGCTGATTTCACAGAATTTTTTATAATTTTTTTCTGATATGGGAAATGGTGTAAAAATAGATTTATAAGTGAGAAAATGCACCGGCGAGATTTCCCCTTTAAACACACGTATTTTATCAGATTAGATCATCGTGTCATATCTTCTCCAATAATTGTTCGATTTACGAACCAAAGGTATCCGCGTGTTCCGTTCACTCAGTATTTTCCACTTAAGCACGAAATTCATCAAATTTTAGACACCTGCAAATTCTTTATTCCCAAATAGTACAGTTTTATTAACTAAAGAAGGTGAAAATTTCTCCTCGATGACCAACTCACTTTTTCTCTAATCATTTGAAGAACAAAATGTTTTTTGAAGTCCCTTAATGACGAGCTACCTTTCGTTACAATTATTTAAAGGGCGGAAAAAGTTTTTGAAGTCAGACGAAGTATTCTTCAGGTGTATGGATTGACTATTTTACCCCAATTTTTTTTTTTTTTTTTTTTGGTCACGAAAAATTATTTCTTCAATAGATAACAAGAGATTATACATACATAGTTATTCCTAAGTACAAATAGGTAATAGTAATAAAGTAGTCAAGAGTTAACTTCCCGAGACACGCCGGAATTACCACAAGGTACATCTTCGGCTGGAGGGGTACCCCCAAAAGTTGTCTTTCCCTTTTTTTCTGAGCGCAGGTGGCAACAATGGGGAACTGCAGCAATAATCCTTGGCAAAGTCGTCAAGGTGCAAAAGTCGAGGCCAAAACAAAAAGAGCGTCATGAAAATAAAGGAGCCCGGAAATGATCCGCCGGGCGGAGACCAGGAGGGTAGGAAGGACGTCCGGATGACGTTATGGGAAACGTCGAAAAAATAACGCTTATTCCTCCTCTGATTCGAGCGCAACAATTAGGAGCTCTGTTTCCTCTTTGGAAGCGCTGTTTTGGATAAATTATAGCCGTTTCACAATAATTTGACGTCGAAAAGGTTGTAAAAAGTTCGTCCGTGTTGAGTTTTCATTCTACCTCCCGTGCCTTTTATTCCTTTTAAACGGCGCTTTCGTTTCCTCTTTCTGGCTCCTGGATGCTACCCTTTTACTCACAGGGCTGCATCCCTCACAAAATGCTGGTGCGATGGTTTGTAATTTTAGCTCTTATTTCGTCTGCGGGGGAAAATGCTACCTGACGAAAAATATTCTAAAATTCATACCTCGTTATTTTGTTTTGTTTCCTTTTTGTGAATGGATTTTATAACAGGGTGTCTATTTTTTTTCATTTTGGGAAATCCTGATGAAATCCTGATTTTTCCTGATTTTTGACCGCTGAATCCTAATTTCATATTTTTCCAAATCCTGATCAAATCCTGACTTTTTGCGGAGAAAAATTAACGGACGGATAGCGGATTATTTACAGAAATTAAGTGGACGGCCGACTTTTCTCAAAGCCTGATTTTACGACCGATTTTTCTTCAAATCTTGCAGATGAAATCGGGATTAAGTCCTGATAGAATCGGGAATCTCCTGATGCTAGACACCCTGCAGTATAACCTTAAAAAGTTCAGACTTTTTTAGATCAAATAACGCATGAAATCCTCTGAGTATTTGGGAGCGAAATATTCATAAGGTTTCCTAAAAATTCATGAATTTTCGAGAGAAATTTGACAACGCCTGATGGCTCCTACGGCGTTTTTCCTTAGCACGGCAGTATGAGCCACCGAGTGGCTGCACGCAGCAGCCAGCACGCTGCGCATTTGCATAGCCGTAGCGCCTACAGTTTTTAGATATGCAACGCGGACATCCATCAAGCACGAATAGTTGTATCCATAGGCGTTATCGTCCATGCTCCTCGGAATTGCTCATTTTGAAGCGAAGCATGGGGTCGAAATATTTAGAGCGTGTTTTTAGAGGATGATTTGAACGGACTTATTCGGAATCAGCCTAACCAAATCAGATGTTGCCGAATTCAAACGACCATTCTCCAAAAGACCTGCGCGCCAGAAATGAAACAATGCAAGAAAAGCTGTAAAAACTGTATCGATCGAACCGTTTAAAATCTTAGATTAACAGGACCGCGTTGAGCAAAAAGAAAGCAAGCCACATTAGCTATTGCCAAATTTAACTGAGCCATTTAATTTTTTTACAAGAGAACGTTTGTGCGGATTCCTTTGAAAATTTTGAGGAATTTGCTTCGTGCTAAGCAAAAATTCACTGAAATTAGCAAATAAAAAAAATACGCACCACCGTTTCTAGTTCTACATAAAAAATTAAACTGTCCAATTAAATGTGACATGACTGATGTCGATTGGTTCCTTTCTACTCAACGCGGTCCTATTTAAGTACTGAAGAAATAGTGAAAAGAGCAGCAGACCATTTTAAAATTCTGTTTTCTCTGAAAACCAATTACCTTGGAAACGCAGTATTTTAAACCTACAATAATTCTCGTTCCCGATTTAGTGCGATCCAGACCTTTAAAGCCAACAACAAATATGATCATAGTCGCTCTTAATGAGCAAATTCGTGTTAATGATAATTCTGATTCTTTGCTCGCGCGCGATAACACTGGATACAAACGTGTCAATTAATAATCCAGTCGTCATCTCTTCAACCAAGAGCCCCTTTTATCTTCGACCGAATACCGTTAATGTAAATACAGTTTTATTCAAAGATTCTGATGTGTCTAAAATTTGTTGGAATGCAGATGACGTCATTCTCCTTGCGATTCGCCGAGAAATGCAAGAACTGATACCTACAAAAGTGAGTATTTTGCGTTTCTACCATAGGGTCACGTGACCGAACAACTTTCCATCAATTCCAATGTGTTCACTATTATCTCTCATAATTCACAGTTATCGCTGATTCTTAATTCAAAATGCCTTATCTTTTCTTATATTCCTCTTAATTCCTTTCCTCACTTAAATTGAAATTCCATGACTTTTGTGCGAACTTTTAGGTATTTCGAAATATATTGTTGAAAATTGTATTTGATAAGAGACATGATTTCTCATTTTTTCTCACTTTCTGCGGAAAATTTCAAGCACGAAAATCGAAAAATTCCGAAGTCACTAGGCGGTGCATTTTCTCAATTTTAAATTTATTTTTATACTATTCCCCATATCAGAAAAAAATTACAAAAAATACTGTGAAATCAGCTGTTTGAGCACTTTCAGACGAAGCAACAAAAAATTTGCATGCAAATTCTCCATTCATTCATTAGTTTACCGCTGTCAATACAGGGAAATTGATGTACAGGGAAAGTTCCGTCAACATATTCCTCAATCAATTGAAAATAAAACTAAAAATAAGGCCTATTATAGTCTAAAAGAATTTTTCGAAGAACCTGATCAATTCATTTTGTATAAATTGTTGTAAATAAATAAATAATTGTTGTTTCATAAATTGTAAATTTGACTTGTGCCAGAGCTTGTTACTATAGGCTGTATGCATCAATAAAAAAATTCTATCTTTCTAAAAATTGTATCTAAAAATTCCATTTGTCACTCCTCAGATGCCTGAAAACGTAACGAAGCTCTTCGACTACTACAAGCTGTTACTGGAAGCAGTGGACTCGCTCGAAACTGACGACGGCGACGGTGGGCAACGGCGGAAACTCATCGTGTCGGCCTTCGCAGACTCCATCGGGGGCCACCTCAACTTCTTAGGGATCCCTGCGACGAACGCGGGCTACTACACCGGCGACGTGGAGTACGAGGAGGCCCGCAACATGCACGATTTGTTTGACACCGTCAAAGAGTACCTGGCCACGAGCGGTCGCGACTGGCGAACACCCATCCCCTCTCCCATCGTCCCCGGAACAATCCCCGTTCGGCCTCTCGAACTGCGCTTCCCGCTAAGACAGGATCCCTGCCGGGAATTGGTTCTTAGACCCGGAGCCAAAGTCGACGGTGAGTCGAGTAAAAGGAACCAGAGGGTTGAGTATTGAAATTGATAGACAAATCCATAGACAAAGATGGCATAGAGAGTACCTGCCGGGAGTTGGTTCTTAGACCCGGTGCCAACGTCGACGGTGAGTCGAGTAAAAGGAACCAGAGGGTTGATTATTGAAATTGATAGACAAATCTGTAGACAAAGATGGCATAGAGAGTACCTGCCGCGGGAGTTGGTTCTTAGACCCGGTGCCAACGTCGACGGTGAGTCGAGTAAAAGGAACCAGAGGGTTGATTATTGAAATTGATAGACGAATCTATGGACAAAGATGGCATAGAGAGTATGAAGCGAACCTATTGGTTTAAACGGGTGGTTCCTATAGACTGAAGGAGAAAATGATGGATTAGCTATATGGTCGCTCGTAGGTTGCCGTTAGTTAGTCTATTTGTCCATTGCAACCACCCGCTTCCACCAATAGGATTTCTTCACATCCCTTGTGTCTTCTTTGTCTATAGCTTTGTCTATCAAAATCAACAATCAGGCCGCAGCAGCCTGATAGACAAAGCGATAGACAAAAAGACATAAGGAGTATGGAGCGATGTTATAGGTTGACATGGATGGTTCTTATAGACAACGGGAGACGTCAATACCGCCACGTTATAGAGAATCGCCGCTGAAATATTCGAATGTTGCCAAATTTTCCCCGATAAAATAGTTGTTTGGAAATTTTTCAGACACTTCAGATCGAATTACGGATAAAATGATTTGCAAAATCGAAAGAAAAACATTCATTAGTTTCCTAGAGAATACGTGTTTTATAAAAGGAAGTTTGGCAACTTCCATAGGCTTATGCGGCGTTATTGCCAGAGCCGTGCGAAAATGCCCGATTTCGCAATCCTAGAATTGCAGCAAACGTGAGGCAAATCTTTGGCCGTGAGGTGATAAAGCTCTTGTATGTGTCAGGAATTTGCGATTTAAGTAGAAATTCCTATGTCAAATTTGGTGAAAAACGCTATGGTGCCACTGGTTTTCTCTGGAACAAACCGCAGAGCTCCAAAAAAAGCTCTCGAAGTTGAGGCCGTGATGAAGAGGATATCTCACACTGTCCTGAGAGTTCACCTCTATATCAAGACAGATTCTGTATGCAAAGACAGGGAGCAAATACATTAGCAGGGTTGCCGTTTTTCCAGTTTTGGAGTACCCCAACAAAGTGGTAACCTTGTTAATGCATTTGCTCCCTATCTTTGCATAGAGGGTTTGTCTTGGTTTACAGGTGGACTCTCAGGATAGCGTGGGATATCTTCTCCATCACGGCCTGGATTTTAAGAGCTTTTTCTGAGCTTTGGAATTGGTTTCAGAGGAAACCAGGGGTACCATCGTGTTTCTCGCGAAATTTCGCAAAAGAAAAATTATTTTCCGCAAATCTCCCACACGTGCAAGATAGGCTCCGTTTTAAAAAAAATTTACTTTTATTTTTTTCTCGCTCATAAATTATTTTTTCTCGCTAAAAAGTAGGGCAAATCGTACACTTTACAATTACTGTGAAATTATGCATGTTGCTGTAAAATCATCCATTTGACCGAGAGGCAAATCAGAAATATAGTTGTGAGGCAAAAACGCTAGATCGTGGCGAACAGTCGGCGTTTTCGGGAACTCTCTGAACCCAAGCGTTCTTCCTCGGCAATGGTGAGTACACCGAAAATAAAAACTCCGGCCGTGAAAACCGTATTTACGGGCTATATAGATATACCGTCCGCGTTCCGGGCTCGGAGGCCGAAAGTTCCGGGCGTAGCACCCGGAGCAATCGAAGTTACGGCTCCAGTACCCGGAAATTTCGGCTCCTCAGCCCAGAACGAACGGTATGTCTACATAGCCCGTAATTTTTTTGTTCAGAGCGTGATGTTGCAACCGTGCTTCGGGGCGCCGGCATCCATATGAAGGGAAAAACAGAAAAGGGGCGAATGAAGTGTTGATTTTAAATCTGTGTTTGCAGGTGGGACTGCAGACTTATTACCTATTCCTATGCCGTACCTAGACGACGAGAACCATCCCAATTCAATTGCCCTCCCTTTTCGTTTTAGGAGTTTATTCAGTCTTGGAAATGGAAACACGTCGAACGTGTTGCTCCGATATTACGAACTAGGTCTCGGCTGCTTGGCCCATTCCTACCGGCCCAAGGATGTGGCATCTTTCAACGCTAACGTTAGTTCTTGGATTTTTAAATCGGTGAGTTCATTTCATCACTTTCGTTCCCGGCTCGATGCCTTTCGCGCTGCTTTATTCTACTCCCTTGACCAATTCTCACGTCGATTTCATTCGGCAAGATGGTGGACACGGACAAAAAAGAGGTAGGGGTTAAGTCCCCACTGTTGGATGATATGGACATTCCTAATGAATTGTGGTAATACCCCGATTAGTTGTGGTAGTATCCCAATTAATTATGGTAGTATCCCCGATAAATTAGGCTACTAGCCCAAATGTTGCAGTACTGCCCCAACTTGAGTTGTGGTGCTACCAAAATTAATTGGAAATGTCCATATCATCCAACCAATTTGGGTAGTAGAACAATTTTGGAGGATAACCCCTAACACTTTTTTCCCCGTGATTCGTGCAATTGTTTAACTGTACAAGAACGAGCTTCCCGCGGTAATTTCAAAAAATTTTGATGGAAAAAGAATCCTGGCACGTAGTCCTGGTTCAGCGGCCGCTTCAGCGTCGCGCGAGCCAGGGAAGGAAACGCGGTGGAGTCATCTTCGCCAACTGATCGACTGCACTGCGTTTGGCTCAATGCGAGAAGTATTCATGCAGTCTTGTAGGCGCTAGTACATGCGTCTACGCCGACCGCACTCTTTGGCGCAATGCGTGAAGTATTCCTAAAGTCTTGCGGGCGCTGATATGCGTTTAACGCCCACCGCACTGTGAACTCACGTTAGAATAATCGCAGAATCGAATAAAGGTGCCAAAACGGCCCAGGTTGTGTTTTGACGCCGTATGAGCAATTTAACGTGGCCTCGTTTCTCCCGGTAAAATATTTTTGCCGAAAAAAGTTAGGAAAATTCTCTACGGTCGCTTTTTTAGATTGAATGGACCATTAAACAAGATACGAATTTAGGCACTCTGATACATGATTTTTCACCAGAATTTCACGTAAAATATGATTCGCGCAACGAAAACTACTGGCATCAACTCATAACTGAGATATTTTTTAATGGAAGCTGTCCAAAAATTTCACTGAATTTTCTTTGTTCTGCCGATAAAATTGATTTGTGAAATTCTCTAGCAGATTCAACCAACAATTCCTGTACATAAAATAAAATGGCGGTGGAAATTTTGAAATTTCGCATGGCGCTTGTGATACCTCGGCCGGAATAGAGTACCTATATTGAGAGAGTATGGCCTTTTGGGTTACCATCTCTGATTGGCTCAGCCATCTTAGACTAAATGGAACCCTTAGGACCCAAAAATGGCGGACGCCATAAATTAATGTAATGCAAAATGACTCAAAATGTAGTTTTCTTTGCTTATCGTAACGAGAAATTTACTCAAATGCACTATTGCGACATCTTAACATATTTTTAAGGCTAATCGTGTGCAATTTTTGAGAAAAATTATCTTAGATGTAGAAAGGTTGGCAGCAAGTGCGGTTGGTGATAACCGTCAAAAGTTGGCAATGACCCCCCTCCCATCCACAAAAACCAAAACAAAGCACCGCCATTTTTGGGTCCTAAGCCTCTCCATGAGGCCCAGTGGCCATACTCTCTCAATATAGGTACTCTAGGCTGGAAGGTAACGATATTTGTTTCCTGTTTCTGCTCAGGTTTTGCCGCATTTACGAGGAACAAAATGGTATCCAGGCTTCAAGGGAGTCACAAGGATAATTGAGACCGCGAGATTAGTAGGTAAGATCTTGATGGTTTTTTAAACGACAAAGATAAATTCTCTCTCCGAGCTATGTGGCGCGATTTGAAGTGACAATCGGTCAATTAACAACCCCTTCAGCGAGTTCCGCTTAAAACTGACACTCAGAATTAATGACCGCGCAATTATTCTGTCCAACTCCATTCTTCTTCTTCTTCATTCTTCTTTTACGCAATCTGAACCGAACTCGAGCGTCTACTATAATTAGAGGGGCACTTTGCTACGGTGTTTGAAAAGCAAGTTTCGTCTTTTAGCGTATTCAAAGTTGCGAACAATTTTTTCGGCATAGCGACTTTAAAACGTGTAATAATTAGCACCTGGCGTTTATATTCACAATTTTTGTTCGACTCGTCTCGCCGTTGACCATGAAAAACTTTTCAGCATGAAAACTGATTTGTAAAGTGTGGGGGGGGGGGGGGGGGGGGGGTTCGTTCCCTCTTTCTCTATCTTCATTTCATCTTTCCTTGCGATATTAGATGCAAAAAATGGTCTTTACAAGCCAAATTGTAAACTGGTTCGGCGGTTGCGAATCTTGAGTTCTTGTGGACGTAGAGTGAGGTGAGCTTTGCAATTATTATCGTAGTTAATAAGAAAAACCATGGAATTGCACTATATCGTCGCTTTGCTGACATAAGGGCGAAACTACAAATTGAGATGAGCCCGGAAAAGCATTGAAATGTGTGAAAGACAGGGTTCATAGCAGAGTGTGGTTACGCCCTTATGTCAGGTAGGCGACGATATTACGGGGATATTTCTCAAACGAATTTTCAAGCATTATCAACCCTCACTTCCATATAGGATGGGCATAATGGCACAAATTTTTTTAGTATTAATGTGCGCTTTTCTGCATTGATTTTCAGATTCTGGTGAAATTCAGCTGCCTTTGACTTCTTCTTCGAACACAACACGTGAGTTAAGACTTAAACGCTAACTGGAAGTATGAAGGATGATCTAGGGTTAAACGGCCAGCCTGCACGAGCGCGTTCTATGGGTCAAAATAAGACTTTTTTGTTGAATAAAGTTTTTTCTCCGAAAAAGCCCCCTGTCGGAGCTACAGCCGCCCCCCTCAAAAAAAAAAATTCGGAAAGTAAATTTTAGGCAACATGAAACGCGATTAAGCTAATCCTCGTTTTCAATAACTATAGTGTTCGAAAATCACAAGCGCCAACGCGACAAATGCGCCTCAGAAATCGGTCATGGTACCTACAAAATGAAGGCTCTGCGTCAACGTGGCCCCTAAAAATTGCCCCTTCCCCCCTAAAAACAAAATCTTAATTTTTCTCTTTGATGAATTTTCGAGATTTCCCCCAAGTTACTACTAGCTCTATGACTAAAACATCTCGCGTTTAACTTTTCACTAAATGCGCCGTGATAAATGGGCAAAAAGTCAATCTTGGCCCCTAAAAAAATCTTCAATAGCCCCTAAAAATCGAGCTTGATGCGCCACATGGCTCCTAAAACTCAAAGGTGATTTTCGAACACTGTCAATAACGATATTTGTATTGTTTTAGCGATGACGCATTGGGAAGATTCCAGAGATAGACTCTGGAATAGGGGAAATCTGAACGCATCGCTGACGACGAAAACTGATGGAGCAATGCTTCGAATGCGATCGGCGGCTCCTGATTGGCTCTTGCGGGAGCTGGAGAAATGTGCTCATTTCTCGGGCCGATTCGCCAAGTTCTCACTCTCCAGAGATGCTGCAGTGGGAATCGTGCTCTGCTTTTTGGTCCTTCTCCTACTTCCTTGCTACATCCGTCATCTTCGGCGACGGAAAACCGCAAGAACACGGCGACTTCGGACGCGAGAGAGTGAAACAAAGCTCTTCCGAAAGCTTCTGGTTCTCTCCCCACAAGAAGGAGGAGCGGGCAAGAGAAGGAACTCCGGTCTGGTTCATACAGAAGGGTGAGAGTAGTTTCTTTGAACTTGAACTTTGGTGTAGGTAACCGCGAAATACCACTAGGCACGGATAGAGTCCCTTCATACTGAGAGTCATGACAATGCGAATCCATTTCTGATTGGTTCCCGTATTTTAAACCTCCACAGTGTCACAAACGGGAATAAATATTACATATCCTAAAAGTGCAACGATTATAAACTCACAGAGAAAAAAACTTCGTGCATCGGACCCGAATTTGAGGTCAAATGGATCTCTGAAGTTTTCGGATCACACATCCGAGAAATTGAGGTCCAACTGCCGAAGTTCGGGTCAGAGATCTGAAGTACTTAGGTATGTACTACAGCACTTCAGATGTGATCCGAATCCTCCGGTATATACCGAAGTACTTCAGAAGTCTAACCCAAATTTCGGCAGCTGGACCTCAACTTTCCGGATATCCAAAAACTTCAGAGATCCATATGACCTCAACTTCAGGTCCCGGGCACGAAGTTTTTTTCTCCGTGAGACTGGACTGGGGAATTGGGGGCACGGCAAGGAACAAATGAATGGGAGAGGGAACGGAGACAGGAATTCGGGAACGGGTTGATCAAAGATTACAAAAAACGTCCAATTTGTGTAATCTTTATTCCCGTTTGTGAAATCCATGAGCCGCGTGGTCCCAACTCTCTATGAAGGGACTACAGACACGGTGAGAACTTAATAGGGTTACCACAGAAAGAATACCGAGAAAACCAGGAAATATCAAGGAATTTTAAAAAATCAGGGAAAACCTGGAAATGTCAGGGAAAATGTCGGAAATGTCAGGGAAAAATTGTTGGGTCACCTTTATCTGCTGTCTAGAATGAATTCGAAGGGCGAAGATATGGCCCGCGCTGAATGTAAAATCTACAGGTTTAGGGTTTGACTAATAAAGCACCACTTTCTGATGCACTGGACTAGGCTGAAGCACAAATCGGAGAGTAATAATCATATTCTTTTGCACTTCAGATCTGATGACGAGGAGGTTCATTCGAAGTTCACATTTTTTAAGAATTTCTGGCGAAAAACAAGAACGCTACCAACACATAGTGAAAGGAGTCTGTCACTTCTGGATACAGAAAGAAGAAATCATAATGATGGTCCATCCCGCGCAACATTGCCCACCGACGATTGTGAACGTCTGTATCGATCTGAATAGATATTGTCATTGCTTAAAAGATGTAAAATAGGAAATAACATTACATATCGGTGGCTAAAAAGCGAGACCACGTGTCTCCTTTTGCAACACCGTAGACTTCTAGTCACACTGTATTTTTTCTGTTGACGTAATTTTTCGAAAACTTCCTCGACTTTTCCTCTCTGTCAGTCGAATACTCTGTATAAACAAGCTATGAAATTGGCTTTTTTCTCTTCGAAAAAATATACTAGAAGCGGAGATTTTGAATCACCGCATTAATAAATCGCTCTGAATAATTTGAATTCATAGGTTGACAGCCGTTTGGGGCCCTAAAAGCTCCATGACCTGAGGGGCCGTTCAAGTATTACGTAAGGCATTTTTGCCAACTTTTTTACCTCCCCTATCCCTTGTAGGGCACCCGTAAGAAATCTCTGACCCCCATCCTTTTGAATTACGTAAGATTGGCCAAGAGCCCCGTCCCCTCATTTTTTCAGAGAAAACAGAGAAAGTATGATAAAATAGCTGGAATAAATTTAAGGCTTTTGTAAAGGTATTTTGATTGAAATCGGCAAAAAAAAGAAGCAAATGATTGAAAGTTAATTGTCAGGGTATTTACCAGTTATAAAGAACATAAATTGGGGACTTTTGAGGATGTTTCTTCAAGAAAATCGGAGATCTTTCTGCCCGAAATAGTAAGAGAACAAATTTTTAAACAAATAGCCTTTTTTACACCGGAAAGCTTACGTAAGACTCGGCTTGACCCCTCTCCTCCCTTCGTAAGGCTCCGTAAGATAAGCCCGGACCCCCTGCCGCCGCCCCCTCCAAGTGCCTTACGTAATACTTGCACGGTCCTTAACCTCAAAATTACTGACATACCCACGTATTCTCCCTACACTACTGCTGCCCGGAGGATGTTATCTGGCCTACCTGAAAAATTGAAGGCGAAATTGCAATTAGCGTAACCTCCATGCGCCTAACGTGTCAGTTTGGCCTCCGTCAGAAAACGGCGCTGCTCGCTGGATATTTGGACGTATTAATGCTAAAAGGAACTATATCTCACACAAACCCTATGCACATAGTTCCTTTCAGCACGAATACGTTCATTTCAGCGGGACATTGACGCCGAGCCGAGGATCATTTTTTAATAAAAAGCCTCGGCGTGAATTTTTAAAGCTCCACCGGGTTATTCCAAGTTGCGCCGAGAGATGAAAAGCTCCACACTCGACGCCGCGGCTGAGCCCCGAGTTAAGTGTTGCACAGTATGCAGATCTACGGGCGAGGTTGCGGTTAATTTAGCAGAGCATCGCGTTTCTGGCTCCTATGATCCCTTCGTTAGGAAGTTTCCGCGCCGATCAAAGCCGAGAGTGCGGCTGATGCGCCTGTCGCGAAACGGTGTTCTAATGTTCCAATCTCATTGCGGATAATGGCGAGGCGTGAATGCGATCCACTATCGATATTTCCCCATTTGAAGCGAGGGTAAAAATCGATTATTATAGATATAGAAGTGCAATACAATAGGGGTTCTTAACCATGAAATTGCTATACTCTGACATCAATTGGAATACATTTTGCAATTAGGAACTACAGATTCTGGCCCGGTTTGAAAACAATGTATGTGCCATTAGTTCCCATATGCACATAAGTGTTTTTTCAGATGAGCCAGAATTTATGGGTCCAAATGGCAAAATGCAGTACAATTGGTCAATAAATGCCGATTTTAAACAATCAATGAAGTGAGTTCCACGTGTCAAAAAGACAGGCAATATGCAGACAGACCAAAGACAAATCGTAACTTATTTCAATTTTATTGCAATTAATTTTAATGAGCCGTGCGCCTTCAATCACTAGATGGGCAAAACCCACAGCACTCCGATGTAGTAGTAAACATTTTACCATGTAATTACAATGTCTAACAATTCATTGGGTGCGAGGCGTGAATGATCCATCATCGATATTTCCCTATTTAAAGCTAGGGTAAAGAATCGATTGTTAAGGTGTTCGTTGCGAACACCCTGCTTATCGACCCTATTCCATAGGTTTAGATGGCAGATCGATCGGTATATCGCAAAGCACGCCACGCCACTAATTGCAGATTGAAAACGAAAAAAAAGTAGACGGAGGAAGCTCATTTGACAATCAAAGATTCAAAGATCCTGTCAAAATTCAGGACAGTCCCTCGCATACAGTTTTTATTGCCCTGTGTTGGTTAAGTAATTAGAAATTTTGATTCATGCCTTCAACCTCTATCAATGCTACTAATGTGAATAAAGCTATCTATGACGTGGCACTAATAGCGTCTATTTCCTCCGGGCCCTACAGAATGTGGCAACGGTGTTGAGTGCACGGAATGATGGACCGTGTATCAAACTTAATTTGGCCTCGAGCTGTGGGTAAAAATGAAAGTTATTGGCTTTAAAATTGCTCAATCTAGCGCGAATTTCTCCCTCTCTGGGCCACATATTAATTAATCATTTTAATTAAAGCGTGGGTAGATAGGATTGAGGCGATGGGTGTCTAAAACTGGGCGTAAAGAACGTTAGAAAATACAGTCAATTTTTGCATACTTCATGAGACTCCACCTCGAGCTGCAAATTTCCTGACGAGAGATCTTACATCTCGATTCATAAAATTTTGAATTTTTCCTGCTCGGCAGTGAGCTGAAGTTGCGAGAGCGTATCGTACAAGTTGCATGAAGTAACAAAAATAGTATTCATGTATCGACGGCGAAACTACAAGAACGCATACATCCTTTGCGCTGTTTCAAAATCTCCGCAAATGTTTTCTTTTGTCCCTATGTAGCACGCTATCACTACTGCTTAAAATTCTTCCAAATATTCTTCTCCTCAATTTCCTGAAAACTTCAAGGAAAAATGTTCGTAATATTCCTCAAAAATCATATCATTTTACCGGAGGAAATTTGACAACTCTCAAAAGTTCTTACGACGCTTTTCCTTACGTCGGCGGTTTCCGCACGACACGATTCAATTAGGAACTGCAATTTCTAGCCCATACGTAAAAACACTCATGTGCATAGGGCAATTAGTGACACATACGTCGTCTCTAACTTGAGCCAGTTGTTGTAGTTCCAAAGTGCAAAATGCAGTCCAATTATGATTTGAAATTTTAACCGAATTTTCTTACTAGAGATAGAAAGCCTTCAGCACGGACCTGAAAAAACGATATTCCTGGCCCAGTTTTTCGCTAGGTATGCTGCAGAGTTGAGGGGCTTGGTGGACGAGGCGCATAGGTGCAGTTTTTGCTACTTCGAGAAATACGTGTTTGAAGTTTCGAAATTACGTGAATCTTTATGGCGGAAAGTAAGTTCAATTCAAACTGACTTTTCGATGCCTAAAAATTGGAATTTGGGAGCGAATTTTTCACAGAATTTGCATTGCGACAAGCTATACTTGAAATAATTAATACCTCAATTTTTCAGAAATTGCATTTATGCGCACGGAGAAAAAAACTTCGTGGATGGGACCCGAAGTTGAGGTCATATGGATCTCTGAAGTTTTCTGATCACGCATCCGAAAACTTGAGGTCGAGCTGCCGAAGTTCGGGTCAGACATCGAGGCACTTCGGTATGTACCGGAGTACTTCAGATGTGTGACCCGAACCCTTCGGTATATATTGAAGTACTTCAGATGTCTGACCTGAACTTCAGCAGCTGGACCTTAAGTTTTTAGATACGTGATCCGAAAACTTCAGAGATCCATATGACCTCAACTTCGGGTCCAACGCACTAAGTTTCTTTTCTCCGTGCGCCTTGTCGTCTACGCCCGTTAATTTAACCTCGGAACTTAAGTCCGATTTTGCCCTGCCCCACGACAATCCTTCAATTCCAATGAATTTCGGCACAAGACTCGGGAAGTATCCCGATAATCGTGTTAAAGGTGGCCGCGATTCGCGGTTGTCAGGTTGAGGGCACTCAGGACTCAGGGGGAGGCATCTCGACCCAATTCAACTTTTACGAGCCATCGAGATGCACTCCGCACATGAAAATAATTACTGGCTCTGGCTAACGTTTTACTGCCGACTAAGTGGCTCATATATCTCTCGCCGTTAATTTTCCGCCGGACTTCTTCTCTTCGGTGTCGGCTTGTGTATAAAATTCCACCATTCTCGCCGACGTTTGAAAAAGGGGGGGGGGGGCATACCGAGCAACTCCCCTCCCCCCACGCGAGAGAATGGACTACTAGACAAAGTAAGAAGTAAAGCACGTAAGAACCTTGAGATATATATTTCCTCGTCAAAGCTAGCGCAGAATGTACATTTGGACTGCTTTTCGCAGAAAGGAAACAAGCCATATCAACTAAAGCCAAATTTGGTAAGAAAATTCAATTTTCGCATGGAGACGGTTGTGCGGATTTTCGTGCAAATTTGTGCAAAAAAAGAGGCCGGAACACATCTCTCCTATACCTTCGGCTGTGTTATTCACGTAGTGCTTGAAGCACCATTACGAATAAGACAAACGCAAACAAACACAGTATGGAAATAAAGCGAGGGAAAGGATGCGCGTTAACGACGGCGCAGAGATACAACTATTCGTACTTGATGGATGTCCGTGCTGCATCTGAAAAATTGAAGGCGCGATGACGCGAAGCGTGAGTTCTCAATGCTCTGCGACCTGCTGCCAATGAGGTGTCGCTCAGATTCGGGAGAGAAGTTAAAAAAGAGGCCCGAATACGTCTTTCTTGTCGTCGGCTGTGTTGGCACTCGTTCTTTCTTCTTTTTTCAGGTTCTTGCCTGATTCTTTTTTAGGATGGATTTTTAGACCCACGTCTTAAGCTCGTGTAAACCGCAGCACTGACACGGTTCTTGTGGAAATAATGGTGCTTGGATGCGTCCAGTGGTTGTAATTTTTTTTGTTTTCTTTAATTTCAGAAGTCTGTCGGTCACTTCAATACGTTCAATTTTACAATTTTTACTCTGTACGATTAATAAACTTTCAACCTGAAAATAGCGTAAACTTGTGCTGCTTTGCCAAAATTTTCTGAACCCCTCTCCACGAAGGGGATGCTCCATCAGGAAATATCACATTTCGTCCCTTTGACCAGCCAAGGGTCTACGTCCTCAGATGCGAGCCAGTCCGACCCTGAATATTATTAACATTTAAGAGTTAAATAAATTTT